AGAGGGAGGATGAGAGAAGAGAGAGGAAGCAAAGAGGAGGATGCAGATGAAGAGGATAGAGCAGGAGGAATAAAAAAAAAAAAAAAAAAAAAACACACCTTTTTGTAGAATGCCTCAAAGACATCCTTTCCATGAATAAACCGGAAGAGGACCATTATCTTATCCAGGAGTCTCTCCAGCTCATCTTCCGTTGCTTCCTTATTACCAGCTCTGAGCTTGCCATCCACAAATTTAGCTGCAAAGAATGGGAACGTGTTTTAGCAAGAAAGGTTTCAGAACAAATATGACAATTATTTCCTGAATACATCAATCTGGAGATATGTTTTCTAATTGCATATATTCAATCAATTGTCAATACACTGTTGAATTTTGTGAAAAAATTCACAATGTTATTCATTATGAATTACCCCATAAAATTTAATCAAAAATAAAGTTAAATTTCATATCATAATTATTGGGACTCAAACTTGTCATAACAGAATAGCTTGTAATGTACTAAAACTGTAGGTACCATGAGAAAATAAACACCCTATGATGGCTAAACTGCTTGTTAGCAACTTTTCTATCTGACCCCTCCTCTTCCCTGTGATTAAGATTTTATTTTGGAATTTGTAATGGTAAGTTCTAGAAAAAAAAACAAAAAAAAATAGACATTATACCAAACAGATTATCAAAATAAGAAATTCAGACCTGGCTGTAATACGATAGACAAGACTAAGAAGAAAAACACAAATAATATAATATATAACCTCACCTATTAATTCTGCAGGTTTATTTAATCTCTGGTTTATGAAGTGTTCAAAAGCTTCTTTCAGAGCCAACACAAACTTATCAGATGAGCTGAAGCATTCGCTAACAATGCCGTCCATTTTATCCTTGAAGTCCAGGAGCTCCTGTACCATTCCCTTGTCCTTCTCTGGGTTGATCACTATGGTCTTTCCAAATGACTGGAAAAAGTAAGAAGTTGTTATGACCAGTGGCTGAACAAGGTTAAACACAGAATATACTAGAAAATAAAATATTCTTATTTTGCAAAAGCTGCTCCATCGATTACAGGGGATGGGAAAGATGATTAACATGAAAAAAAAGAAAGAAAGAAAGATAGAAAGAAGGAAAGAAAAAGACTCCTCTATGATAGATGTAATACAAAAGTGAACTAGAACTAATCCATATATATTAAATGTAAGGCAGCTTCTGCAAATCATGGGTTAGAACAAAACAAATAGATACAAAACCCAGTAAATAATTTGCCAAATTTACTATTTATCTCTTTTTCTATCTAATGCTTTCCAGAAGTGCAAACTTTAATCCTTTGCCACCAGGTGACATGTACATAATGCCATGGCATGCCTGGACTATATTCTGGGTGGCATGTGCATACATGCCATGGTGTGCTGGTCCTGTTTTCTGGGAGCATGTACGGTCAATGCCACGCATGCTGTGGTGCTGACACGATCCCTCGGCCACTATGAATACAGCCCGAGAGAGGGCTTTCACATTGGGAAACCACCCGGCGGTATTGGGTTAAGAAGTTTCAGATTCCTGGCCTGTTTTTAGCCATGAGTGTTGCTGCATCCTGCTATGGCCTGAGGTTATGAATGGCATCCATTTGGGGTTATATTCTCCCAACCATAAAAAGAGTCATTTGAAAGAAGGAATAGTCCTCATCCTTGCAAGCTTGGGATTTTATGGTGGGGAACCAATCACTATACCTAATTCCTACCTTCCAATATTTAGAGACAGCTTTTTGAAAAATCTAATTATACAATGAGAATTGGGGAATATGAACTTTTGCATATTCTAAAAGATGCTACCCATGAAGGATATTTTGCAATCAACAGTATTCAGAATTACTAAAATGGGGCAAAATCAGGTCACAAAAAGCAAAATATAGAGAAAATAATGATAATAGCAAACATGAAAAAAAAGATTAACTCCTCCATGGCATATTTTCAACAATATAAAAATCCCATATAAAAATAAGCCAATAATGATAAAGGAAGAATGAAATACAAACCAAAGTTGAGGTTACGTCAGACCATGACTGACCACAGAGGAAGGCCAAGGTCATAAGTTAATTTAACTTTTTTGTTCTCAGTGTGGTCAGGTCATTTACACAGGTCTTATGGGGACCCTCCCAGTAAGTGGGGAGAAAAAGTTGTATAAATATATAAACTGAGTTAGCTAGCCTATATATTATATGTACACATATGAGGAAACTACCAAATGACTGTTTCAGCCAAATCTGGGTTATTTCTCGGGAGGCACAAGGGCATAAGCACCAACACAGGTAATTAGCACCAGGTACACCTGTAGAGACCTTTGCTTTTTGCTATCTTGCATATGGTATTTGATAATGACATTGTGCATAAATACGAGTTTGTGAACATCCAAAGAATACTTTTATAGCAATATCAAAAAAATGAAAATCTCAATGAAACATTCTGTGAGATTTTCTTCAAAAATCTGAGTTTTGGCCATGAAATATGCTTTCCATCTTGTAACATGCTCTAGCTTATATAGGGATCTACATGTGTACTAAGTGTGAAGCACAAATGTTAAAAAACAAAACTAATGATAATATTTTGGTTTGAATTCCCTCTAATGGTCAGTTCCATCCACCACTGGCAAAGTTGTTTTGATTTGAAATTGGTCATTTCCGTTGTAATGAGCACTTCAATACAAAGGCCATCCCATGGTTGTAATTTTGAGCTTCGGAAAAATATGTAAAATATTGATTATTTATGTTGAAGATGATAATACACAATGATACCCACTATAAAATAAAAACCTATATGGAATTTTCAAATCAGTTTTATGCATTTGCTTTGTAACGAGTTGATCCAACTAATGCATATGTTTTCAGTAAAAAATGCAACCTGTGGATGCTACTACTGGCCTAATGCGCTTAAATGACTGAACACTAACATTGTACTGGTTTACTATGACCATTATATAAACATTATACATATAAACATATAAACATATATATATATACATACATACATACATACACATATATATATATATATATATATATATATATATATATATATATATATATATATATATATATATATATATATATATATTTAGAGAGAGAGAGAGAGAGAGAGAGAGAGAGAGAGAGAGAGAGAGAGAGAGAGAGAGAGAGAGAGAGAGAGAGAGAGAGAGAGAGAGAGAGAGAAGAGATGTATTTATCTATCTATCTATATATTTATATCAATCTATCTATCAATCTGTATCTATCTATCTACATACACACACACACACTTTATTCCATAATGCAAAAGATGCTCTCTAAATGAAAAATAAGTCAAATCACTCTCCAAGAGATTTCTGCAGTTGTGGCAAGTCTTTCCCACCACCAAGGCAGAAATACTCCCGACAGCAAGTTCACATCCCCCTGGCCCACAGCTAGATTTTCCCCATGCCAGCATGTTCACATCAACGGCCCCTCAAGCCAAAATTTTATGACATGGTCACGTCATCCAGATTGTAATGGTTAATCCCTCAACAACAGTGTCAGAAATCTCTCGGCATCACTGATTCCAGTGACTTCAGGCAGCCATCCTACTGTTTGCCCTGGGAGTCCACTACGTGTAGCAGAACTTCCCGCTGGACTCTCTCTAGTGCATCATGGTGCCTATAGCTGTACCTGACTTGATGAGTTTGTTTGTTATGACAGCTCTAGGTGTGGCCTAGCAATAACAGGTTAATGACTGGCATCTACAATTAGAATAATACATTTGCAATTTACCTTAATATATGCATTGAAGTGTGTACAAAGGTCTTCTAATCCTCCCTTAATCCTTGCAAAGAGGTTATACAGGAGTGTGAGGTCGTGTCGTCGATTCTGATCTAGCAGGGAATCCAAACCTTTCTGTAGAAGGTGTGTCTTGTGCTCACTCAAGAGCTGCTTCTCCACACAGTATATCAACTGCCGTCTGTAGAAATAAATAATTTAGAATTCCCTAGTTACCTTATAGAACTTCTTAAAAAAAAAAATTCATTAAGAGATAGGACTACAATATTTAACCATATGCCACCAAGAAAAATGAATAAAAAATGGGGAAAATGCTGTGCTCATTTTTCATATCTTTGTGAAATGTCTCTGCACATAGAAGGCTCTGTTAGTGCTTAGCCACAAAGGAATCAATTAGTAGACCTTATCACCTTAACAAATTTCACTATTCGTTGAATTGGCAGGAAAATTATTTTTTACTAATGCTATGAATATTGATGGTGTTATTTTTTAATAGAAATTTTAATTACTATAATGTTATAAACATCAGTAACAGCAAAACAAGATATCTTAATATATTTCTGTAAATCAAGGAAAAGGGGTAAACAGGCGAGACAGGCAGTACTAGTAATTGGCTCATTGGTGACTTAGTACAAGTGTAGCCATCTATGTGTAAAAACAAAGTAAACTCACTGTGGGCCCGTCATATGCGTATGTGCCATGCCCGTCACCACTGGGTTAAGTAAGGGTATATTTGACCTTCAAATCACTGGTATTCCTTTACAATGTACCCAAATATACTTTCTTAAAATACTGCAATAACACTTACTTGGTTGACATGTCTAAGTAGTGAAGAACTCTGTTGTTTTCCTCTGTTAGTCGTTTATCAACATGCAAAAGGTACTGGGGAACATCACGGTCTTGCATAAGACGCTGACCCTCTCGTAAGTATAACTGTTCTGTTGCAACCAAAAATCTGGAAGAAAAATTGAAAAGTAAAATAAATTAGGCAAAAGAATTCATATCATCAGCCAAATGTTCTAAAGAGTGAAGTACCAATGAATAAGATAAACTCCTAAAAATTGACAAAACCTATTTAGCATAAGTACTAAGCAACTAGTTAGATAAATGCCTGTGTATTAATCAAGACTTTTAATATATTTTTTTTAAACAACACATCAGCAAGTGTAAATAAGTCTTATGAGCTTATGAGCTGTTGTACCATTTTCCAGCAAGGGGATACATCCTTTAGAAAGTTATAATCTTCATCAAATGTTGCTTCTGAGAAGCAATTGTGATGCTGGTTAATGTTCTCTTATGATATGCTACCTGACACTCTCCCATTTTTAGCAAGCTATTCTGCAGACAAAAGAACTGAATTACACATTCAATGTGACACTTGTAAGATAAATACCTACACCCACCTCCCCACACACACTCTCTCTCACATGGATCATAAAAGACAAGATCAAAAACTTATTCCACAGAAATCATAAAACAAAACAGTAATATCAATATGAAGTATGTGAAGTACATAAAGCAATAATAAAGCAAATGAAGCGCTATCATTCATCAGACATCAAATCCTTAAAGACAGGGGTACTCACTTATTCTCAAACACTTTGTGGTAGATTTGTAGTGATGACAACATCCTTAACAGTGATTTGACAAGAGATCTGTCAATGGTCTCCCCAGATCGTTCTTTCTCAATCATCATGAGTAAACCATCCACACATCGATTTTCTACTACCACTTCTTCCAGTATATTTTGTCGAAACAATTCTAGTCCCATATCCCTGTAAATGAGAATAAAATGAAGTGAATATATGGATGTGGAAGGAGACAAAAAAAAAAAAAGTTTGTAGGGGAGGGGAAGGGAAGGTAGATCTGAAAAGAGAGACAAGGAGAAGGAAGGAAGGAAGGACGAGAGAGAGAGAGAGTAGAGATGACTAGAGAAGAAAGGCTGAGAGGCAAAAGGGAGAGAAAGAAGGAGGAAAAAAGAACAAGTAACCTGTCAATCTGAAAATATTTCCAAGGGATTGAGTGATAAAGTAGTTTAATCATATACTCAAATGAAAGCTTACCATATGGAGGAAACCTGAGCGTTCTGCAAGACATATCCTCGGTCCAATGCCAGGAAAATATTACACACCATCTTCATTTGGTGACAATGGTGTGTCCAACAGTCATTCAGCTGCCGTAAAAATGTCAACCGGTCACTTGTTCCACTCAGGAATTGGTTCAACCGGGATTTTATATGCTTCTCTGTAAGATCTGCAAGAAATCATTTGTAAGTCACTTTTAATCATGAGCCGAGTGAAAATTTCTGTGCATCACACAAGCGCATCACTTATATCATTCTTTTTCCAGAATTCTACACATAAGAAATTGATTGGTAAAGTTACATTCGTATTAACTCTTATCAGAATATCACCTGTCATTTATCTAAAAACAAACAAAATACAACTATCATGATAAATCTAATGGAACAGGTTTCACTTTTTTATTTCTAACCCTATGACTACAGATGGCATGATATGCAATAGTTGTGGTGGATCACATTGCAGAATGCACTGCATAATGACATACCATGCCATTGGCTCATCTGAGGAAACTCATATTATTCCAATAGTACAATATTAATTGTTTGGTGTCACTATTAGATACAGGCTCTTAACCCCTTCCCAACGAGTCATGCCATAAGGTGTGAAAAAACGCTCAATCTGTGGCGTGCGGCTGTACGCCGTGGTGGCGTGTCAAAGCGCAGCGAGCCGGTGATTCGGCTTCATGTAACGAATCCTGTGCTCAAAGTCGGTGCGTTGCCACTGATCAACAGAGCGTAGATTTTTTTTTTTAGTTTTCTTAACCCGTCAGCAAGGGGTTAAAATGAAGGGAAACCTTCAATTTTTTAAACATTTGTTTATGAAATAGAGGTACAAGCAATTAGGCACCTAACGCTGTGCTTGAAGTACTGAATGAAACAGCCAATGCGAGCCAACAACTCTGCATTACTAGCCAATTTTTAACACTGGGTTAAGCCTTTCAATTAAATATCAAGTCACTGATATACATTTGGTAGCAAAAACTATGAAACAGACATAAACTTGGCAGCAAAGGCTTGACACATCACTGATTAACCCTACTCCACTAGGTATCAGAAATCTATGTGTCATAAACTCTGGTGATTTCTGGCAACGTCCAGACACCGGGCGTGGGAATCTGCTACATGTAGTGGAACTTCCTGCTCCACACGCTCTAGTGTGTTGCCACACATACAGCTGTACCCCGCTCACCAAGCAGTATGTTATGACACTTATACATGTGACCCATTGGGAACAGGTTAAACTACTTAATCCATGTCTTATATTTATTTCCCTAAGGAAAGGAAAGGAAAAGAGAGAGAGAGAGAGAGAGAGAGAGAGAGAGAGAGAGAGAGAGAGAGAGAGAGAGAGAGAGAGAGAGAGAGAGAGAGAGAGAGAGAGAGAGAAAGAAAAGAAGACGATGAAGAAGAAGAAGAAAAGTCAAAATTCATCCAAAGCAGCTTTATAGAACAAATATAACATATAAAGCCCTACCTCTAAGATCAGTATAAAGTAAGGCTGGAGGCCTTTCTGTGATTAAGTTATCTACATATCGGTACAAGTCCTCTTGGGTAAGGTTGTCTCGTAGCTTTCTTGATTCCTGTATGGCTACTACTGCTTCTCTTAGATACCGCCACGACTCAGCAATATGATCAATGGCAGGTTGGTTGTGCACTGGAAGGAAAGGAAATACATTAGGAAATTAATTAAAGTAAAATAAGCTCTGAGAATAGGGAGCAACAAACATGAATACCCAAATAAACATATACATATATCTAAATATATATAGACATATAGATAAATATATGCATATATATAAATATATATATACATATATGAATATATGTACATATATAAATAAATATATATACATTTACATAAATATATATAAATAATATATATATATATATAATATATATATATATAATATATATATATATATATTATATATATATATATCTATATATATATATATATAATATATATATATATATTATATATATATATATCTATATATATATATATATTATATATATATATATCTATATATATATATATAATATATATATATATAATATATATATATATATATCTATATATATATATATAATATATATATATATATCTATATATATATATATATCTATATATATATATATATATATATATCTATATATATATATATATATATATATATTATATATATATATATATCTATATATATATATATATATATATATTATATATATATATATCTATATATATATATATATATAATATATATATATATAATATATATATATATAATATATATATATATAATATATATATATATAATATATATATATATAATATATATATATATATCTATATATATATATATCTATATATATATATATCTATATATATATATATCTATATATATATATATTATATATATATATATATATCTATATATATATATATCTATATATATATATATTATATATATATATATCTATATATATATATATATCTATATATATATATATCTATATATATATATATCTATATATATATATATATCTATATATATATATATATTATATATATATATATATAATATATATATATATAATATATATATATATATTATATATATATATATATAATATATATATATATATTATATATATATATATATAATATATATATATATATCTATATATATATATATTATATATATATATATATATAATATATATATATATATATATCTATATATATATATATCTATATATATATATATAATATATATATATATATATCTATATATATATATATATAATATATATATATATATATCTATATATATATATATATATATAATATATATATATATATATATATATATATATATATATATATATATATATATATATATATATATATATATATATATTATATATATATATATATATATTATATATATATATATTATATATATATATATTATATATATATATATATATATATAATATATATATATATATATATTATATATATATATATATATATATATCTATATATATATATATTATATATATATATATTATATATCCACACACACACATACATATTATCTAATGATGCTGTATGCCACAGTCAGCACAAAAGCACATGGTTTGATGTATACCTTTTCATAGAAAGAAAGAGAAAGTGAAAGATGGAAGCAAAGCAAGAGACAAACAGACAAGGGAGGCAACATCAATTAGCATTTGTGAAGCTTGCTGATGAATACTGATGTCACTGAATACCAGTGTGTTAGCGTGGGAGGGTTTAAGACAGCAGCAGAATCACCAGTTTACTTGTCAATGGGTTTATTTACTGTCCTCTTTAGATTTTAGTGAGTTTTGTTACATACAGATGGCTCCATGTGTACTCAGCAGCAAGGCGTCTATCAGTTGGCCGTACTGACTGATCCTGATTCGGGAAAATGCGTTTTTCTTTCCAATACTAATAATATTGACATTGTTATCATTCTTATTGATATCATGATTATCTATTTATTATCAAAATATAAATGACACCAAAGACAATAAAATAATAGATGTGGATCTTTCAAAAAATGATGGAAACGGGTAAACAGATGAGAGAGATAAGACTAATAGCCGACTCCTTGGTGACTAAGCACTTGTAGAGCCATCTATATGCAAAGACAATAGATAAACTTCTTACTACAGTGGGTATGGCATTGTAGTCTTGCCACCCACTGACACTGGTTAAATGTACTTTGTCTATTTTGCTTAATATGATGGCTATCTCTCTTACCAAATGCAAATTAGTGAAAAAAGGGTGAGTTTCCTAAATTCCAACTGACGATAAAGATATTGATCTTTCACTGAATTTGAAGCAAAGTCTGCATCTAAGATAATTATTTTGAAATGAAAGATGTTTGTCAGGGTGCTAAAATGAAAGTATTTTGCTGAAGTTACTCGTTTAGGGAATAAGCATAAAGGAAAAGCAAAAAGCCGAGAATTTGAAACGGACTAGCATCTCTAAAAATAAACAAATAAGAAAGCAAAACTACCTAGCCTATTACTGGAACCCTAGTTTCTGTCTCTATCTTTATTTATCAATCATCATTATCATTATTTTCTTTTGATCTCTTTCTCAACATTTTATTAAAAATACAATCTTCCTGTAATATACAGTAGTCTAATAATCTTTGATGCTTCTAATGAGAAAGTACTTCTATATAAACAAGAATACACATTAAACTAAATTTTCATTTTGGAATATAAGGTGGCTAAATAGTTTAGTGAAAATGATTTGGGAATATAATATAACTAAACATCTTAGTTAACCTAGAAGGGTATAACATTTTACAGCAATTAAAATGTCATATGCTTTTGCAATTATCATTAAATCACTGAAAATACACACTGGCAACTTTAAAACAATAAAGGAAAAAAAAGAAAAGAATCAACTTTTCTATATATGTATGCTATCTATTACACTATCTAACTGTATAGCACATTACATGAGAATATCCCATTTACTTCTGTCAAATATTAAGCAATATATACCATACGCCAATTCTTTCAATCTGCATTTTGACAAACTTGTAACAAGAATGACCAATAATTTGCAAGTGGCAGTTGATAGGATAAGCAAATGATTTTAGAGAAAGTTTCAGTGGTTTGAAATCCTAATTTTGGAAGAGTCTCCCTGATCCTTCACAAATATTTCTAACTTCTTTAAGGCTAAATATCTTATCAGGTCATTGGGAATGAAACTTTGGACCAAGTTTAACCCATTTCTGCCGGCCACGTCTTGCGGCTTCATAACAAACTGCTTGGTCTGGGGAGTATGTCGTGTCAACATGTTCGGCTTGATGTAGGAAATTCCTGCGCTCAAAGCCTGCTCATTGCCATTAACCCATTGCCGACGGGTATGTTTGATAGTTTTTATACATAGTACGAGTACTGCCTGTCTCGCCCGTTCACCCGTTTCTTTAATTTTTCGAAAATATTTTACGTTATCTTATTTTGCTATTACTAATGTTTATAACATTATGGTGATTATAATGTTTATAATAAAAATAACACCATCAATATTCATAGCACTAGTAAAAAATATATTTTCCGCCAATTCAAGGAAAGGTGAAATTAGGTAAGGCAGAGCCATCTATGAATAGAGACATTTCACAAAAAAATATAAAACATGAGCACAGCATTTTCCCCGGCGGCAATGGGTTAATCTCCAGAGTATAGAATTTTTATTGATTTTCTTCACCCGGCAGAAATGGGTTAAAACAGGGCTGACTGTTACTGTAAAACCAATACTGCAAAAGACCACGAAAAGAAATATCATACATTACTAAATTCTGGACTTGCAAGCCTAGAATGTAAAATATGCAGTCAGTGGCATGTAAAACAAAATTAAACTGCATTATGTGCAATCCTTCAAAGCATGGCGGAAAATAGGAATTACCCCATCACATCTTGGGAAACAATAATATATGTATGTATTTAACATAACATATAATGACAGATACACAACCTTGACCAATGACTTGGGGATTTAACCCTTTGAGAGCTGGATCAAATTGCATCACTAAAACCTTTAGATGCTGCTGTTGGGTTGCAAAAGGAGATTAGGGGGGATTAATTATGCCAGGTGCTTACTGAGAGAATAAGGGACAGTATCTGACTATATGTCTGTCTGTCCATCTCAACCCCTCCCCTTTCATCTCTCTCTCTCTGTGTCTCTCAAGTAGTAAAACTATAATTGTATGTGATGTGGTCAGACAAAATTATACTTGCTATTCATAATAAAAAGTGCTATCCAATGTCTAGCCAAGGGGGTCTTAACCTAAGGTCCAATGACCCCCTAGGGAGTCTATGGAGGGGTTTTAGGGGATCAACTATGAGATTGTATGTGTCATATGCAGTGGGTCTTATTAAAATTTCTGATAGTTTCTTATATATCTGACCGGCAGTTGCACACTACCTTAAAATAAGTCTACTGTGCAAATATTCATACACAATATTGAAGAGAATTCTCATCATGAAATGGATTTCCTTACTTACTGTTAATATGAAGAGTAAAAAAGGTGGCAAAATAAATAAATAGAATAAAAACAATCCTCATCCAATAAGTTTCTAGTACGACAAAAATTTCAGTTTCTACTACATGATCACCACTAATTTAAAAAAGCACCTTAAGAAAAGAAAGAAAAGAAAGGCATATTTGTCATATCTAGCAGATTTCCACATCTACACTGACAAATCCACTACTTCAGACTAATATAAGACATTATCATCATATGGTTTCATCTAGTCTGTAGAGATAACACTGGACAGATTTCAACTACCTCCATTAGACATAACACACAATTATTCGGTTGAACTGTATTCATGTTGACAAATGTAGAAAAGGTACGAGTGAGAATGAACATCTTCGCAACATAAGATATGTATTTGACCAGTTTTGAGATATATATTGGAAACTGGTAAAATACATCTCTTGTATTGAGAAAATATTTATTCTCATTCATACCTTTTCTACATAATTATTCAATTTCATTGCCATGCAACACAAACTAAGGTCAGTCATATCCTAAGTGTCCTGAGGATAAAGCCTTAAAGCTGGGTCTCAGATAGTTGCCTAGTGGTATCCTATACAATGGC